GCATGGGCCCCATTGCATAGCGCCGACTACCTAAGGGCAGGAGAGAGACTGGGCATGGACCCCTCCCAACATAGCGCCGACTACCTCAGGGCAGGAGAGACAACGGGCATGGCCCCCCTGCATTGCGCCAACTAACTGAGGGCAGGAGAGAGACTGGGCACAGACTCCCCCGCACACCGCCGACTACCTGAGGGCCGGAGAGAGACCAGGCATGGACTCCTCGCACAGTGCCAGCTACCAGAAGGCCACGAAAGACCAGACATGGACCCCCTGCACAGCGCGGAATAGCAGAGGGCCACAAGAGAGACCAGACATGGACACCCCTCCTGCACAGCACCGACTACCTGAGGGCCACAAGAGAGACCGGGCACTGACCCCCCCCCCCCGAAACAATGCTGACTACCTGAGGGCCAGGAAAGAGACCAGGCATGTGTGAGAAAGGATAGATGAAGTTCCTTTTTTCCCCCCAATTGCTTATTATGGTCTGCCTGGTTCATGTGCATATACTGTAGCTATAAAGGCACTGGAATGTTATACAGTCAGAGACTATCACATGTGGTGGCTAGAGGATGAAGTGAATTGACTATATCCCATATGAATGCTCTGTAAGGTTTGTGAAGATTAACATATAGCTGTTGTTTCCGAATGGGAGTTAAACACTCGCACTGAGTAGTGGAGTTTGTCCTATTAATTACATGAATGACTGGTTGCCATATGGAGGATGGCAATTTACTCACTAGAATTTTTTCCAAACAGTCTTCTGAGTTACAGTTCTTCATCATTATAAAGAAACTGACCTAAAATCATTAGTCTGTATTGTTTTAGAAAAAATGTCACATGTCCTTTTAGGATAAAGTATCGGTAATTGGTATTGGAGAGTACCTGAGGGAAAGTACTTGAAAAAATGGTATCGGGACATCTCTACCCTATACCATGGGACAATCACCCCAAATACAATAAAAACCCGACAGAGGCTGCAGGTTATGAAAGGCTCTGCTCCAAAATAAATACAAGTTTTGGCTAGAGTTGCACCTTAAAATTCATGGCAAATTCACTGCATAGTATTAGGAAACCGTGTGGATGGGGAAATCTCCCCTGCCAGGTTATTGTTTTCTGGGAGCTGGCTCTTGAAGCTGTCAGCATACCCGAACAATGACTGCAACTCGTTGGCTGCAGTCACCGTTTGGCCGACAACTTCCTGCCTGGCTTACAGCAAAAGCCCATTTTTATTTTTGTCAAATGCAATAGTGTCAGCAGGGCCACCCACTGCTCGATTTTGGCTGGTTCAGCAAGACCACAGCCAGCTTTAGCAGTATATAGCCAGCTTTAGTCTCATTTATTTTTCCAGCCTGGAAAAAAAGAAATATCTTATAATGAAATGTCAGAATATATTCCATTAGAGAATAGATTCACATACCTGCATTAACTGCACTGAGATCTCATAGATTTCCCGGCTGGTGTCAGAGGCTTTAAAGAGGACCAGATTCAGCAATGTCACAATGTCAAATGGATAATTCCTAGGATTAAAGATACAATTTCAGTTCAGCCAAAATACACTTTTCTTCAGCATCTCACTGTCCTCAGAGTTACTAGAACAGTGCCACTGAAGTAACACCTTTTCAGCTTCTCATAGAAGTGAACCAATACAGTATATCATCACCACATTAAATGTAACAGTAAATCCACGTCCCTTGCTTGTACTTTAAACTAACCCAAACCTACTCTATATTTCTAATTATTTTACTGCCATAGTTATTACGGGAAGGTAGTGAGAGGCTGTAAACAAACTCATGGCCACAAAATCTGCCCACAGTTTATTGTGAAATTTATCAGGCAGCATTTCAGTATATGGTAGAAGGGATCTGGGCAGCTGTGAAGCCGTCTGATCACTAATACAACCCAGACAATTGTGAAAGGGTTAATTATTTACAGACCAACTCTATGTTTCTGATAAATATGACAAAATGAGCCAGAACACTGAAATAATCATTCTACATATGAAATGTATTGCTTAACTTGTTCCTTCATGCTTGCTAAGTGTTTTTAAAGGGAAGGCATCATGCCTTTTCATTGAGAGCATACTACTGCAGTGTTAAAGTGTATGTCCATCCATTTTTAGCATTGGATGGAGTGGGGAAGGACTGGAACCCCCGTTAGGAATTGTAAAGCTATCCAGAGCTCCATTAGAGAGATTTCCCCAACATAATGTCGGGATAACAACAATCTCCTGAAATATGAAGCCCATCTCTTGTCTGGTGTCATTGTGTCAAGAAATTAAGAAAAATCTCTCTAAAGCTGGTCATACACTATGCAAATTTCGTCCGGTTCTTGATGAACCTCAATGGCACCCTTTTGGCCAGCATTCCTTGATCAGCTGATCGAAGGAGCAGATTGGAAAATCTTCAAATGAACAGAGGCGGCAGCCAATCAGCTGTTGTCTCTGTTTGGGTATTCGGACAGTGGCCGACATCAGAATTTAATCAGGACAGCAGGGAATTCCTTGATCAACGCTCATAAGCATTGATGGAAGAATCTGTTCTGCCTGCAGGTTGAACAAAGAAATTATTACAGTGTCTGGACAGCTTAACTGAGCCCTGGATAGCAGTGACAACCTGACTGGGGTTCTGACTTGGACTTAAACTTTAAGTTATTTGGACACTGCATTCACATTTTTTACAAGCTTGCTCTCCTATATTTTATAAAATATAGAGCTATGAATATTATTCACTAGAGGAAGTGCAAAAAAACTCTCAAGAACTAGTGGACTAGGTATCTCTCAACTAACTAGTTCAGCCACGTAGGAAGTTTCCATCGTTTACTAAGAGTGGAGCTTCCTCACGTTGCAAAGTAAATTTTCGCTTAACTTGGAAAATTAGGTGAAGCTAAGATAAAATTCACTATGAAAGAATACCCAATCATGTGCAAGGAATTTTTTTTTTAAAAAGAGGATTTTTACTTGCACATGATTGGATGATTGAGGTCAACAAAACTTCAGTGTGTTCACTAAGCTATGCTTAGAATGCTCACTTCAAATCATCAAATACTTCAATCATCTAATCTTGTTCAAACAAAAATCAGTTTTTTGTTGTTTTTTTTTAATTTTCCGTGCACATGATTTTTTATTTGCAAACAGCATTTTCACTTTGTTTAATCTCATTCACTAAGACAAGTGAAAATTCACTTTGCAAAGTGAACTTCCTCAACTTTAGTTATTTAATTCCACTGCGAGAAGGAGCAGTAAAGCACAACCATTGTAATATGATATGAAGCAAATATGTCTGCTTCCATTTACATATATAATAAAATATACATACAAATAGGCTGATTTACTAAAGATAAACCCAGTTTAGCCAAGCCAAGACCGACACACACCCTTACTGGCCCAATCAATGGCAGCTGGTGCCTTCCCCCACCCTGCAACAAAGCCAGCAAAAGTGGGGGAAGGCCGCTGCCACAAATGTCACCACTGATTGGGCCAGGAGGGGTGTCACAGTTTTAAGTGGGCTTGGGCGAACTCAGGCAAACCGAGTTTCCACCAAACAGAAGCTCATCACCAATGGGCAGCTTTAAATGCACGTTTGTTGCACTTATGCACTTTTTGTTTTACCTTAACCCTTCCCTTAAATCACTGCTTGAGATTATAGTACATTTTATTAAATTTTCTTTTTTGCAATTGCATCTTAAGCACTGAACAGGACATTGAACAGTTTAAGGCTGGGCACACACCTTACAACCATCGCAAGACTTTTGTCTTGCGATGGTTGTAAGGTACTTAAAAAAACGTACCATCTGCCTATGTTGCATAGGCAGATCGTACTTGCGATGATCGCAAGCCACGCCCCCTGAGGGGCGGGCTTCCGATGACCGCAATGCCGAACGGGCAGTGTGCGCTTGCGCACACCGGCCCGTACGGCTGTTATCGTACGGACATGCCACAAACCCGCCGAACATCGTACGATGCTCGGCGGGTTTTCGAACATGTCCGTAAGTTTAAAGTCGTGCGACCTTACAGTAGTAGAGGTCGCACGGCTTCCACACACCTTACGATAATCGTACGATCGCGGGATTTCCCGCGATTATCGTACGATAATCGTAAGGTGTGTGGGGACCCTAAGGTATACAAAGGAACCCTGGTCAGAAATTGGACCTGAGCCTTGTAATATTCAGGCACAGTACTGACCACAAATCCTCAACCCACTAATGATTTACTATGGGAACTGTACCGCTTAGAAAAATACTGAAATTACATTTCTTTATGCCTGCCTGAGAATTGTTACCTCATGAAATAATGTTATTCCACTAGCATATTAATAGCTCTGCAAGCTGCCTTGTTGAGCCCAGTGATAAGAGGAAGTCAGCTGAGGCAGATTAAGCTTCCCTGTGACTCTGCGGAATGCTCAGACACTGGGAAATCGCCCTAATCAGGTTCCCAAATGGTAACCTGACCCTTTTCCAGAACAATCTGTCCGGCCTGATCAGCACACGGGACACCAAGGGAACAAAAAGAGGTCAAGTTCAAAAGGTCCGTTAATGGATTTTTCTTTTCAAGGACAACAATACAAGCCAGTAAAGTTAACATTAAATCCCAACGATTATAGAAAGTAGTGCTGAAACCGAATCGGCTGTAAAATGACAATACAGCAATGCTCAAGGAGCCAGATAAATGGAGGAAAAGTAGGTTACGCTTTTTAAACGAGGGTGCGTTAAAATCATCAAAGTGAAAACGCCAGCCAAACGTTTTTGGGTTATTTTGGATTAGGTGGGGAATCTCTGTCAGATCATATGTTGCTGTCTGTATTCCTGACAGAAACATTTTTCTGTACTTGTTCTGTTGACAGAAGCAGCAAAAAACAAACAAAAAAACAGAAACAGTTTAGAAGCCCTGTCAGGTCTGTGTCACACTTTTGCAAGTAACTATAAAGTGTTATTTTTAAATATTTCTATGAAGGATCTCATGTACCCAGGTCATGGTATAGTTAGGACTAGTTAGTTGCATTAACTGGACTTGTTTTGTAATGTTCAATATAACATTATGGAACAGATTCAATTGAATGTAACTACTACTACTACTAGCTGTGTAAACCACTTCAGGACCTAGGGCCCATTCACTCTAACCAGTCTGCTAAAATGCTGCATTATAGCAGACGGGCTAGTACATTGTGGCAACTCTGGTAGTGTGCGTTGTACTGTACACTGCTGGAGCGGTCACTGTTTAAATTTTTTCTTCTTTTTTTTATACTTTATGTGGAGTTTACAATGTGTACACTCCATTCAGGTCCCCGCACAGCTGCGTGGTGTGGTGACCTGTAGTGATATGCAGTGCACTGCGATGAAATGCAGCATTTTTGCATTTTATTGCAGCACATTGTCCACTGCGTTGTAGTGTAAATGGGACGCATTGAAAACAATTGTGGTGACCTGCGTTGATCTGGTGTGGTACAACACAGGTCACCGCTATATGTGTGAATGAGCCCTTTCCAATTTTTGCTTTTAAGCACTGCATCTGTATAATAGATAAGTGTATTTTTACACAGCTTAAAGTGACACCAAACTCAGGAGTTACATCTTAAAAATGTATTCATGTACAATAACTACAAAAATGTATCTCATTTGTGCATCACTCGGCTGTAGATCCTCAAATGATCTCTGAATTGGTGCTGACACTGTCCTTCCTTTTGGAGGGTGGTTCCATTTCTTCCCCATGGTCCCTGTGTGTGTTGTAAAGTAGCCACCACTTCAAGCTCACTCCCGTGAGGGACTATAATCTCATGTTTAGTTTACTAATTTGTATTGTGATTGTAGTCCATCACGGGAGCGAGCACCACTTTAACTAAGCCTTCCTTCTAAACTACAATTTGATGTCTGAATAATGTGATATTATCATTGCTTGCTGGAAACTTTGCATGATGGGATATGCAGTCTTGAGCAACAGGGGAAAAGATGCAAATCCAGGAAGTTGATGAAAGTGATGGGCAGACAGAAGGCAGCCCTATATGAAAGGGATTTTCTCAAGTAAGCTTTGATTGCATTCTTAAAAACAATTCTAGTATGTATTCCTATGACAATGCTGATGTTATAACAGGATCTTATATGCTGGGACTTTAGAAACCCTTTAATAATGAGGGGTAAAATTCCTTGCCTTCCCTTCAAAGTACTGGAACAAAGATTAAAGGAGAACTATGGGGTCAGTGTTTTTCCCCATAGTTCTCCTCAGAGTCACGGGAGGACATATACTAACCTCCTCTTGTGACCCAAAGCTCAGTATAGCGCGAGCTACAGCTCGCAGTATACTAAGACCTCCGCAGCCGGGATGGATTCCGACATTACTGTCAAGATCCACCCAGCTGCGTGATTGACAGCTGGTTCTGCCTATCTAAAGGCAGAGCCAGCTGTACCCGCATCTCAGGTGTCCCTGTTCAGATGCAGCTGCTGTACCCATTGAAGTATATGACAAGGAGACAACAGGTGCATCTGACACTGGCAGTCTGCATGTAAACGAACATCGTACGATAACATGCAGTTTCGGGAGGATGTAGAGGATTGTCCTTGGACTCAGGATAGAAGTGTCCAGCAACACCATGGCCAAATCTGAATGGGACACCTGAGATTTCTGCCACAGGAATCTGTAGGTTCTTGCAGCTGGAATCTCAGGACGCCCATTGTGAATGAGGCCTAGATCTTTTCTGAAACTACCTGATAAATAAAGTAGCTAAACCTAGGAATAAATGTAATACTGTAATCTTAAATCAAATCCCCCGTTTAGATTGAACCTGCACCCCCACCCTGAGCCCCCACCCCTTTCCTCCCACACACACATAGAGGACAGGATAATAACAGTCTAGCCTCAGAGGAAGTGAGATGAATGACAATGGCTACTTTTTAAAGTTCTGGGCTGCTAAAACTGGAGTTCTGCTTTAAACAAAGTTGACACATTCATGGGTAAATACACAAAACCCTGTTATAAGTATATGGAGTTATGAGTGGACTGCCCCTTTAATATGTCTGCTTACCTTTTAACTAACACAACAATAATATTTGTGTCCAGCTGTAATCTGCCCATGACAGGAAACATTGCTTTAAAAGATATCATGGTAACATCAGTATTTACATTCTTCTTACATTCTCGGTGGTGATGGTGGGGGGGAGGGGCTACACCGGCATACATAACATACATTTCATACCTGTTTCCACAAACAGTTGCAATAGCCTTGAAACACCCAGAAGCGAGCTGGTATGATCCAGTGTAGCAGCGGTCAATGGCCCAGTTAAAGAGATTAACCTGGTCCGGATTAAGTTCTAGCAATAAGACAACCACTTCGCAGCCAAGCTGGTGAACCTGGACATGGAATAACAAGCATAGCCGTCACTTAACTCTTTCAGCAAGATCATTCATATAGTTATCTGTTGCCTTAATCATTCTATTCTGATTAGGGAAAAGAGCTCCCCGTAGAGGAATTGCTGCTCATAGTAATCAGAGTTCTTCTTTAATTTTCTATTTCTCTCCAATCTCTTTACAGCCAAAAACGATTTGTCTCACACTTAATCAGCAAATATGAACAGAAATAACTTCTGAGAAATAAATGCACCTTTTAGTTTACTTATGTATTTAAAACAAACATATATTGATTTGCTGTTAAGTCTGCATGTATAATATGTTGGATACACCAAATGGAGGTTGAAATCAGGCATGCACTGGGAGTGACCATTCTATGAGCCGATGGGAAAAGGAGGTACATAGATGGACTTAAAGGGGTGAGGCAACTCATGGTGGTAGTCACTAATGGGGTGATGATTTTAAGTAATTTAAAGATCAGGAAGTAGAAGGGGCACTGGCACAGAAACCGAGAACCATAAAATGCCAAAATATTACCAATATAAAATATCCCAGGTAGTTTGCTGCCACAGCAACTATATTACTGCTCAGCCTGTGCTCAAATTTGCACATTTATAACTGAGACAATTGCAGTTCAACTCAGAGTATTAGGTCCTTATATATATTTTAAAAATACAAAAGAAGAGGCGCCTTTCCTGGTGCAATATCATTTAATCCAAAAAGACAGCCTGTCTTTTTGGATTAAATGATATTGCACCAGGAAAGGCGCCTCTTCTTTTGTGTTTTTTAGATGTTCCAGTACCCTTGACTGTTTTTGAGGCTGCACCTTGCATATGTGCTTACGATTTCTTCCCCAGGAGGGGTAAGGATTGTCCTTGGCGCTTTTAAAACCATAAACTTTTATATTTTAAAAATACATTAACAAACCTACCCTCATGTCCTGGCAAGCCAGAATGTTATCAAGCCATTTGTAGAGATAGCCATCAGGAGACAAGCCAACGTTGTCGAACACAGGTCCACAGCAAAGTACAGCGGACATGGCCTGGTGAGAAATATAAAGGACAGTAAATGGCAACAGCACAGAAGACTGCAATATGGCACATACAAAGCCAACGCGTTTTGGGGGTTAAAAATACTCCACCTTCATCAGGGCTACAAGAAAGTATAAACGTAAAAGAATGCAAATATAAATATGTAACAATCAGTTATATCTTCATCATACAGTACATTTCTACATATTTATATTTACATTATACTTCCGGATGAAACACCAATCCTAAGTAGGTACATAAGCGGTGAAATGTGTTGGGTGAGGTCATTGACACCATCATGTATGCTCCTACTCTCAGAGGTAACAGGAGAGAGGAGGAGGAGGTGGAGATGAGTGCAATAGTTTGGTGCTGTTATAGCACCAAAACAATTTTCAGTGTTTTACTGTTTTACATTTTTTATGCTATTGGACGTCTCTTGTTTCTTTTTTTCCTGATACAATTGGTTTGGAGTGGCTGGAATTAGAAAATCGCTCTGGAGAAGTTCTACGTTTTTGTCATTTTCCACAATTATTGTTTTTTGGGATTTACATGTTTTGTACTGCTGTGCTACTGCATGCTTGCACTCTGGTTATTTTTTGTTTAGATAGTGTTTAATAATTTTGTGTATTAACATGTCATAAACCACATGTGAATGTTGCCTCTTCTTGTTATAGTCAGTAAGGACAATAAAGTACAAAACAGTGTACACTGTTGTTGTTCATGCATTAACCCACATTGCATAAACAGAGACGTATGCACACCACTTAAGTCAATACTGGGACCGAAGAATTAGAAGCAAGCCATGGGCTCCAGATACCCATAAACAGCAGAGATCTACCTCTTTGCTTCTATGTAATTTTGTACAGGGGCACAATTTGATCTAAGGCTGTCTTCCAGAGGATGCTAAGAAGGCATTTGTTATATGGATCTAAGGGGGGTCTCCCACTATACCAAGTAGGCAAATTGAGGAATTACAAATATTTGGTAGACCCAAGTTCGATTCCAGAAAAGCAGCAACTTCTGACCAAAAGGCATGAACCTGTGTACAGGAACTCTAGTTACTATATTTAATTTGGCACTGTGTGGTTAACTATAAGTAAAACGTGAGCTGCAGCAAGTGTTACTCACCTTCAATGCACAATACTGGTATCTTGTAATCTGATGGTTGCGATCGCTGTATCTGTCCAATGGAGTAAACATGATGCTGAAAGGCCCTGCCCACTGGCTGAACAGAATAAAGAGGTGGTGGCGCAAGCTCTGCTGCGGGAAAAGGAACCTCCGATGGTGAACTACAAAAAAAACACATACAACACACTTGTTAATACAATGTTTTCAAGAAGAAAATTAGAACATGTCCACCCCTTATAAAGAACATATACAGTACATGCTCAAAACATCTGCTTAAAGTCAAAGTATAAGAGCTCCAGAGAAGTGAGGTTTATGTAGATATACAGTGGTTATTTGATTATTTTTTTAAAGCAAATATAACCTGCCATAATGTGAATTACACTGTCTGAGTTGAAATAACTAAATTCCACAGCTGCCCTACGAGAGCTGCGATACGTCACATTCTAGAAAACATAAAGAACAGTACTCTATGTATATAGGCTGCACCCCACTGTCTCCCCCACTGTACAGTGCATTATACAGTACAGGTTTCTGTGGGGGCAGGTATACAATGTACAGTGTTCTGTACTATACAGTATTTGTGTTGGTCCTGATATACCCCATTGTTTTCAGCCAGTTTCTGTATTTCTGTTGTAGTTTGAATTCCAAGCTGATACATTGAAGGTATGTAGTGTATGGTAGGACTCATAATGAATATCAGGGTCAAAATGATACACATGAAATGCAGCTAGAACAGTTACCAGTATTTCCAACGGGAACCAATTGTTTAAATAATGCAAAATTACAACATTCACTTTGTTGTAATGCAGTTGTGCAGAGAGAAGAGGGCCCGTTGCCCGCAGGCAACGCGGCGAGGGAGCTGGCCAGATGTCCAGGCAGCATGGAGACTGAGTGCAGGAGCTGGCAGTCTGGAGCTGAAGGGAAAGAGATCGGGAGCCATGAGTGAGGACATTCTGGATGAGAGCTGCAGCAGGTCCAGGTAGGCACTGATTGTATATGTGCAAAGTGTCATGTGTATGTGTCATTGCCTTGCAGGTTAAAAACATTTTCCAACTTAAAATTAATAAAATGCTTTAAGGGGTAGTTCACACCATCCTCAGTGCGTTCCAGCCTGCTTGTGGCCAGAACGCACTAGATCGCATTGCGGCCAGCTCAATTTGTTGTGGGGCGGGGTGTGGCGGTGCATTGAAGTGAATGGCACCGCAACCACACCCTCTAGCCGCAATGCGATCGACCGCATGGGAACGCAAGGCACATCAATGACTGTGGTCCAGTCTGGTCTGAAAAAATAGTGCTTGGGAATAATTTTTTCCTAAATCAGAATCGTGTTTTTTTTTTGGGGGGGGGGTTAATGTTTTTTTTGCCCTGGGCCCTGAGGTTTCTAGTTACGCCTCTGACAACATTCATATGCATACTTCTGGAGTGCAGCAGGGGCATGAATCTACATATCTACATGGAAGAGCAGTCATCAAGCCAGTCATTCTGCCTGGCTGTTAGAAAGTTTTCAGATATTTTTATGGCTCAAAGCAAAATGCCTAAGATTGAAGATTCCATTATTTGACTCTGAGAGGTTGCATATTAGCTCCGCTGCTGTACTACCCCAGAACTACTATGCAGCCCAGGAGTCAGAGAATTATTTTGCAAGGGTGTTTTGCAGAAACCAATTACAAAGATAAATGTCTCTACCCCAAAGAAAATGGCTGATCTCGTTCTGAGTGGAGGTCTCTTTTAATGTGCTTTTGTTGTAATTCTGTATTTATTAAATAACAATTGAAACCCTTGAAATACAAATGGTAAACCACGGTTTCAGCAAAGGAGGCAAAGGTATTACTGGACATTCAGGACTGCCCGACAGTAACTGTCCAATACAATTAACTCAATTACCTGGCACACATTGAATCAGGTTGGCAATCATGGCACTGAAATGTGCTCTAATATCCTTAAGAATTTCAACTTCTTTATCATTTTCTGCTTCAAGCAGCATCCGTGTAAGGTCCACATACTCCAAAAACAAAGCTCCAAGTGCCAGGGTGTCTCTCTCTAAGGCCCCATTGGTACTATGCAAAGAAAAAAAAAAGAAAAGTCATAGTAGAGGAGGATTGGCTCAATTGACACACATAGACATTGTTCACATGTGCGGCAAAACAAGGCAGTTGAGCCACTTTTCTAATGCTTCTCTACCACCTTCTGCCAAAATGTACAATGGGCAGCGGAAAGTGCAGTGCACACAGTTGCATCACTTTATGGCAAAATGTATACAACATGTCACGTATGGCAGGCGGTACCATTTGCCAACACCTTCTCTTCAGATCAGTGAAAACGCACCTTATTTGTGTCTATAGTGGTTATGGTGTGCTTAAGAAGCATTTACAGAGTGTTTTTGAAAGGTTTACAAGGTGCTGGGGGAAAGACAGTGGAGGTTCAAATAACCCAGATAACACTTGTAAATGATAGGGGAGAAATAAGAGGGATCCAGCAGCCACTTCCAGTGTGTTCAGAACTGCAGAGATGGCTGTTGGATGAAGGCAGCTGGGTCTATGTAATGTAGCAAAGAGCAACACCGAATCACAAAAATAAAAAATATGCAGATATCACATCACAACCTCTCCGCACTTCACAGCTGGATACTTCCTCCATTATCATTTCCCCTTTAAAAAAAAGGGACAAGCGTTTGGCAAGCGTTTATTGATAAAACCTGAACGTGTCGGAAACATGTGTTAATGCTATAGGCATGTTCATCATCACTCATCAATTGTTCATTTTGAACGCACATGTGAACGGGTCCATATACTGCACATACTAAACATTCTACAACTTACTTGTCACTTATGACTCCAGCATCTGCCAGCAGCTCAAATATCCTCAGCAGCTGTAACCTCAGCAGATCTCTGCGCTCCCTACGCTTCTTGTTCTGGAAATAAAATACATTGTGCAATAACTGAAAGTGACGCTTAGTCAGTGGCATCCCAGCCAAACGTTCACATCATATGTAAATGACAAACCACAGTCTAAACAAAATCTTTTTGCTTTTCTCAGCAGTACTGTTTAGGTTTAAAATATTCATATTGGAGAGTTGCCAGTCAGCTGCTGTAAATCAGACACTTGCTCTCATTTTATTCCTGTGCCCGCCATGATTTAGGATTATTGGAAGTCAGATGCAGGTGTGCTGCGTCCGTCCACACCCCCACCACTGAAAGCTGCGGCATGCCAAGTATGTGGAGATACTTTTTTTTCTTTAATCTGCTGTTAGTTTGTGACTGTACAAACACATGGATACCACAAACAATAAATATTAGAATGCCGATTTTCTGAGTTAGTTTAGATGTAAATGGCACATAACAGAACAGGGAAATTACACCTTTGAAAAAAATTTTAAAAATGCAGACTTCTTCATAAAATAAAAAATTTGCATTTACTATTTATTTGCATAGGAGCCAGTAAAGCATTGCAACTGTGATCAGTGGATCGTGGGTGCAATGCTCTGGCTCCTGCAGACTCTTCTTTTCATCTATGTCCGTACTGAGGAAGTATTCCATTGAGAACTACAAGTCCGTTTGCTGCGGTGGCTTATAAGATTTGTAATTTCTGCATTTACAGATCATGTCAAAGGAAAA